CAGGCCTGTTGTGCAAAATTTGACTTGCCACTTCATACGCCTGCGTCAGAGGTCTAAAAGTGCATGTGACTTTCCATTCTTCTTAGACTTGTCGCGCAGGGCATTCAACTCTCATCGCCAATTGAGCATTGTCCCATGAATTGGTTCCACATCCATAAATTTCAAATTGTTTTTCAGTGATTGCCCTAGCCAGGTATATCAATGGTTTTGCGAAAATTGCCACAGTGAAATTTAAAGAAGCGAACATATATGTAGATTTTTAAAATATTACATCATTATTAGCAAGATTGTATTTTGTTCCAAAGAGGCTTTGGGTCACATGGGCAGCTCGATCTACACGTGGAACAAACCTACACGTATTTCAGTGAATGCAGAATAAATTATTCATACTATGAAAATAAATATTCAAACAAGGAGACATATACCGTGAAGTAATTTTATTGCTTCTTACTTATCTAACTCTGATTAGTGGTAAAATTTAAATGTTGCTTATTCCAGAGGTCTGACCGACAAGTCTGTCACGTGACCAAGGTCATTTGAAGAGGGGTCGAACCACCGTATGCCTCATACATGTAGGTAGGAATACACGTTTAGTCTCTTTTAAACAATTAACCTTTTTTAAGGGAAATTGGGATTTTTCGAGGCCTGATTTTTGGTACATGAATAAGAACAACACAGTTAGCTTGAAAAGAAAAAAAAATTAGAAAAATGCCTTGTGAAATGGTAAATGTGTTAAGGATGCATTAAGGGGGAAACTGCCAAACTGTGGGTGTTTAGTGAAAATATAAGCATCGAATCGAGTGAAATATTATTTACAAATTACATTAATACTATAAATGTTTTGGAGTACATTTTTCAAGAAATGTAACAAGAAACTTTAATACTGTACAACTTTATATAAAATTTTTGAAGGCTGCTTTTGGAGCTATTTCCAAATGTAGAAAAATAAACTAGCATAGATTGTACATTAGATATATTTGATAAAGCTCAATGTTTTATATGGATCAGAAGTATGGGGGTTATAATAATGTGACAAAATTAGATAAGTTACACCTGCATACATATTTTAAAATTACGCCAATTAACCCAATTTTATAATTTCTCGGAGAGCTTGTAAAGCTTTCATTCTTCATATTTTTGAGGTTAAATCGACTTCATATTGGGATTAGCTTTTGACGGATCCAAAAAACAAGCTGAACGGTAGATGTTGTTATATCTTTTCTTTATTGCACACACAATGGAGTGATTATGTTAAAAGTATATTCAATGAATGTGGCTTAACTTATATATGGCAATATAAAATTATAACGGATCTCAACTTGTTGAAAATGTGTTTAATATTCTTAACGTTCAATATATTCCATCTGAGAGAAGTGAGGTGTTTAACTCACCAAAAGCATGAAACTATGGAATGTTTATGGCCGTTTTCAAGACGGAATACTACCTTTTGTCCTTACCTTATAATTTGACAAATTTACTTAATACTAGTCAACGTATTCCACGTTTTTTTCCTGTTACGCTCGCTCATCAGACACGTCTAATGCAATGTAAGATTGGTTTTCAGCTTTGGCAATTCATACAAACTCTTTTTTCAACCGGATTTTAAAAATGTTTATTCTAAAATCATTCCTCCATTTGTTTCTATTTTTATTTATTTATTTATTTATTCTTGTTATTAAGAAATCCATTTTATAGAGGCAACTTCATCTTAAACACACAATAGTCATTGTGCAGGCCATACAAGTACGCAATGAAAACAATCCATTTAATAATTTTGTCAACAAATATAGCATGAAATCAAAGTAACCATTCAATAAACCTAATATCGCACTTGGCTTATTTGGTGAGTTTCTCGTGCTGTTATCAATTCGACAGTATCAGGTTCGAACAATTCTCATTTTCTTCGCCAGTTTCATATTTTGGAGTATGACTGAGACGTGTTAGAAATAACAACTTACCGGGGCACTTTTTTATTTTAACATAGCAAAAACTTAAAGTCTCCTTAATACATGTAAGACTGTGTGAGCACGTCACATGTACGCACAATGCACAACTAGCGCATTCAAAAATACACGGCACTATTTTCCCGTTTTTATTTCAACATAAATTACTTCTTGCCATTCTAACAGTTTACGTGCACAAGGACTATACTCGTGCCGACAAGGGCTTTCAACAAACCCTGTGATCTGCATATACCAGCCAGAGTTGTAGTGCCGGCTTAGTTTTGAGTGAACTTTGTATCCAATCCAGAGAGAGACTTTCCTATACTTCGGGGTGAGCATTGGTCTTGAAGGTCCAACAATCTGAGAGTAAGCCTTTAGTTTTTACCTGAAAATGATTTGAAGTACTTTCACTAATGTGTGTGTTCTTGTAAAATATTTTGATTATAATGGTCGTATACGGTGTTTAAGAGCTACATGCACACACACACACACACATGCAAGCACGCACGCACGCGTGCACACACACACACACACACACACAAACACTTAATTGTCAGGGATTATAATCACTTTTGATAACAAAATATGGTCTTTTAATCGATTTTTTCGCTTGTCAAAACCTTATTTAAGCTATCTTAAGCTTGTGTATAGGGAACGTTAATCGGGGTAAAAGGCATATACCAGTATCCGTTTTCTGATGATTTTTATCAGAGAGTATATGTTGGTCATTTTGTGAAATTTGATGTTAATAAAATGATTGCAGGAGCATATCATCCCACAGTCATTTATCTCCCCTAAAGTATTGGTTCAGTAGGGTTGACACTTCTATTGTCCAGTGTGTGTATCTTAAGCTTGTGTATAGGGAATATTAATCGGGCTTAAGGGTATGTACCAGTTTCCGATTTCTGATGATTTTTATCAGAGAGTATATACTGTATATGTTAATACACCAGTACTTATAAAGCACGAGACACGCCTTAAATATAAGCACGTTCGACATGACGTTTTCAGACATCAACCTGAAACGATCTGTCTCTTCAAGTTCACCTACTTAATTTGTGAACTGACCTACAAGTTGATAACCTCAGAGTTTTGCACAACTTATGAAACGATGCACGAGAATCGAGGCTTATTCCCTTAGGTCATCAGACATCTGGGTGACTGAACGTATTGGCTTTCATTTCGTCAGTATGAACATGACGTAATTGTCGCCCGTCGGTACATTGTATTTTGGTGTAAATTGGCCCGTCCACGTGTTCTTCTTCGACCTTCTAACGCATTATTTCTTTTGCGTAACCATTTACTTGGCGAAGGACCGATGCTCTACATATCCCAGCATGCACCCGGGGCAGTTTGACAGTTTTTTTTTTCTTGTATTGCGGTAGTGCTGCAATTGCGTACTGATAGATCAACCTGGAAAATGAAAAATATAACTTGTGTCTCTAATTTATTGCTCTAGCATTTTTCTTTTTGATAAGTCACTCCGCCGAAATGTGAAATAAACCTGTTTCGAGAACAAAATGGATCTACCAGTCTGTCATTTACTAGTAGATCTATTGCGCAATTAAGGACTCCGGATATTCTGATTGTGTCAGATTGTGCCCAAAGTTGTGACGGCAAGTGGCATAGGACGTTAAGCTGGCTGGTCATTTTTAGCTGGGGGTGAACGGGAGCTGAGAGCGCGAAGTAGAAGTGGGTTTTCCAACGGCGTGGTAAGATAACAAGTGATTTTTTTTTTTCATTTTGAGCAGAGAGTACCAGTAAAAGTTCGGGGCAAATGACATGAAGGCGTGCTACAAGCGCTTTAAGGTTTAAAGATGCGTTTATTTAAAGTCAACATGTTTTCAAATAACTTGCTGCACGACCGACGGCGCAAAACATAAATAAATAAATAAAATTAAATAAAAAACATCGAGGAAAAAGTTTCTTGCAAGGCTATAAATTGTTGTTATTTGCAATATTCGGGTGTAAACAACCTGATATGCCTATGTCTAATTATTGCTTAAAGTTTTATGGTATGTGCTGCATTCACAACGATGTTTCAGTGTCCGTAAGGGACCTTGCAAAAAACAGGAAGTAAGTCGCTCCTAACAACTCAGTCGTAATAATCCTAGTTTTGAAATGATTAATTTTTTATAATTGTAACCAGATTTTAGAATACTGAACATAAAATCGATATGAATTCCTATTTTCAAGACCACAGATTGAGAATCTAAGACAATTTTAAGGCAAGTGTGCGCTCAATTAGCAGTTACTGGGTAGATAATATCCCAACTATATAATAATAATTTCCAGACCAATGTCTGGCAATCTTAGACAATTTGACAATTTAAAGTCAGGTGTACATCTTACTGGCCAACAGCTAAGATACCAGCTCTGGTCATCCAGAGAGACTTTCTTCGATCTTTATGTAAATGGTCTTTATAAAACAAAAGGTTGCTTAAATAGCCGCATCTAAAATAAATGGGGGGGGGGGGGAGGAAAACATCAATAATATAAAACTAAATAATATAAAGTAATAATTTATTATTCAAAATGCAGCTGAGAATATTTGTATAGAAATCAGTAAAGACGGTCGTATTTGTAGATTGTACATGTATCCGTATTTGGCCGAAATGATATTCCCTCGCTTACTATTCACCATTCAACATTTAACTTGCCACAAAACCTGATAACAACCACTTCTTCTTTATAATCACGTCTCAGCTCCTATGCTAAAATGAACAACCAGCTTAACCTCCTACACCACTTGACGTCAAAGTGCGATAAGTTGGTCAACACAATCAGAATATCCGGAGTCCTCTATTACAAGAGGCGCCTATAAAAAAAGAGGTGTCGATATGACATTAACGTATTCATGTCGCGTGCAAAAGAAAAATAAACCTTTTCTAAACCACCAAACATTCCTTTATAAGTTCACATAATTATCTGCACAAATCTTGAAACCCAAGGTTACTTTGCTTGACTTTTTTCTTCAACATGTTCTTTTTTATTTAAGTTAGGTGGCTTCCGGTGAGAAAAAAATAACATTAGTGGAGGGCAAATTTGTTTACCAACATGGATGGCCGGCAGGGAAACCCGCTGTTGAGGGAGTTGCTCAAGCCAAGGTCCGCAGCCGAGAACGAGCCATGCAAAGCCAAATCTGCCGATGACAAGACTCCAGAGACAATAGTGAATTTTCGCCAGGTATGTCCGCTTCTTTATTTCACAGATGACTTAGGAACATCCGCTGTAAGAAATAAACCAAAACTGCAATTGAAATTTGATTTGTTCATTTTGCTTATAAGGAGTTTTTCGTTATATCATCGAGGTCAGAAACTTTTTTTTAGAAATCCACCCTTGGTGACTTTGTTTGGCTTTATTGTTGTATAAAGTAGTTTTTGGTGCTGATGGAGCTAGTCATTTAATATCCCGAAGTACTACAACTTTATGATACATGCTTTTAAGCATTCTTGTGATTTATATGGGAAAACAGTAGCTATTTGGACCGAGGAATGTTCCAAAAATGGAAGAGATAATATTTAAAAATTTGGAGTTTGTAAGGATAGTAAGAGAAATGGCATCAAAATAACAGAGAATATAAATGAATAAACACATACATGTAGTGCACCAACGTTTTAAACAGAGCCATTTCTTCATGAAACAAACCTTCAATGAATTATCGACTTGTTTTCCACGTTTTCCTACCCCACGCCTAGAAGCGCAGTGATGTTTTATGCTCTTGTATTACTGAATTTTAATTCAAAACACACGGGAGGTCAACGCGTTCATATCAAGAAAGTGCAGGTGAATTTTAATGTGCTTTAATTCATATGCTATTATGTTGCTATATTGCAACTCGACATGAGCTAATTCGAATTTAACAACATTAAAAAGCTAAAAAAAAAGGTGATGAAAAACTGTCGGCGGAGGGGGAGTTTTTTCCCTTTTCTAAGACACATTTTAGTGTAGTGTGTGGTTGCGCCACTTTCAAATTAAAACGGTATCGATCTGATCGTTTTGGTTCGTGCTTTAAGTGATTCTTTAAAGCATTATGTCTGTCTCAAACCCTGTTTTAAAGATAGATCTAGTATAGGCATTAGTCATACATTGTATATAAGGTGCACTTATAAGGAGAATTTTAACGTTGTGCCTAAATTGAATAAACTATTTGAAACGACTTAGTTTTTTGTGTTAGATTTTCAGAAAGTACGTTTTCTCTTTTTCTTGAACTGATCAAAACAAAGGGCTTTTTCTTTTTTTTCGTTATGTTTATACATTTTTTCATTAAAATAAAAATTTCCATCTCATGTGGTACACGTAATCTACCAAGCGCCTCTGTAACCTTTAATGTTATATCTGATTTTCTTCGGCAATATACATGTACCAGGGGCGGATTTAGGCCGTCTTCTGGGTCTTCCGGAAGACGGTCAGATTTTCAAGTTTACATTAAAGGGTATCTAATTTTTTCTGTCAGAAGACGGTCAAAAATGAGGATGGATCAACAAAGTTATAATTTGGAAGACTGTCAGAAAATAGCTCTGGATCCGCCCCTGTGTACGGTTGCGGTTACTGATAATCCACCACAAAATTGTCTAACGATTTCCTTCGAAAACATATGCACTCAGACGGAATTTTCAATTTGACTAGTGTCTTTCAGATGATTTTTTTTTTTTTAGTTTTTAACTTTTTCCTGCTTAGCAAAGATGATCTATAAAAACAACTATTAACATGAATTTTTAAGATTAATGTTACTTTTTAATTTCCTACCCATAAAAACAAGATCATTTTCTAATCCAGTTTATTAATTTTGATTTTTTTGCACCTGAGTTTGAGTACATGTAATTATATTTTATAGTATATTTAAGATCTTTTGTATTTTAATAGTAATGTTATGCCTTACTCTTAAAAAATTTAAGATAGGACTTGACCGATGGGTTAGTAATACACACTATAGAATAGACCACAATAATTTTGGTCATAGAAAATATGTCCACTAACAACTCTCTTCAGATTTAGAACAATAGCAATGAATGCTTGCTTTCTAGGGTCAGTGATATATTATGGCCAGTCGTTTCTCATTTACTGACGAAATGGAAACCAACCCCCCCCCCTCCTACAGGGATCCAATATCTTCTCACTGATGACACATAGAACACAAAATAAACATTGTATTGAACTTATTTTACCAATAGTTTTTGTTGTTGTTGTTGTTGTTGTTCCTAACGTGAATCGACCTACAATGTAACCACGGCAGCTGATGCACATTACTTGGACACATTCATTATTCATTACAACTTTTTTTTTACAAATAGTTCTATAATGAATGGGCAATAATGATAATAGTGAGAACGACAAAGACAACAACAACAACAACAACAACAATAATAATAATAATAATAATAATAATAATTGATCACTGTTCATGGTTTTAAGCAATATGTAAATGCCATTATTCACTTCAAAGTACCCCCCCCCCCCCCCCCCCAAAAAAAAACCCCCAAGGAAATTCCCCACAGAGGAAAAAAAATCCTTATCCTGGGGGGAAAAAACCTTTTTTTTTTTTTTTTTTTTTTTTTTTTTTTTTTTTTTTTTTTTGGGGGGGGGGGNGTTTTTTTTTTCTAAAAAGTTTAATTGTTTTTGTAATAATCTTTTAAGAGATTATTACAGAGTATAACCATCTATAGAGGCCAGGTGGTCCGATGACAAGCTCAGATATCAGAATAATAGCTATAACTGCCGTTTTTGTGGTAAAATAGAATATATTATGTTTCTATGCGTTGTTTGCAAGTTATTATCCCTTTAAAATATGTTTTCAAATTGTACCGAAGGGTCACAAGACCTACCAGTGCATTGGCACGAGATCTGAAAATAAAAATTCTTTCTCACAACGGAGTAAATAGCCTCTATTATTATGGTAACTGATCACTAGTCAATGAGTTTTTGAAATGTGATTACTCTCACACCTGCGGAGCTCGGCGCATTACGTGCGGAGAAAAGAGGACTCAGGGGTGGTCGGTTGGAGAATAGAAACCCGGTTCTTGCCTTGACAGGCGGTTATTTATATTTTGGACAACGCTTTGTCGCACTCGGACGATCAAATGTAGGGTGCCGCTGCGTTATATATATATATATATATATATATATATATATATATATATATATATATATATATATATATATATATATATAAAATAAACACAAAGAGGTTCGCTCTGAGTTCAAATAATTTAAATTCCTCAAGATTAAACACTCATGGCGCCCGTACAGCTGGCCCAAGTTTTACAAAAGAAACTTAGGTCAACCCTACTACATTGTTAAGGTCAACCAAAGCAAGGAAACCAAGCAAGTTACTGACTTAAATAATAATGTTTGTTTCTTTAAAATACATCTTTGTCGTGTTCAAGTGGGCTGGCTTTCTTATCAAGTTGTTAGTGTGTTACCAGGAGCGGATTCAGAGATATTTTCTGACAGTCTTCCAAATTATCTTTGTTGCCCCGTTCTTCATTTTTGACCGTCTTCCGACAGAAAAAATTCGATACCCGTCAATGTAAACTTGAAAATTTGACCGTCTTCCGGAAGACCCAGAAGACGCCCTGAATCCGCCCCTGGTTACAGCCCACTTATGATTGATTCCTGGTATTTTCAGTAAATGTTCAATTACATGCAGTTTTCCTGCCATTCTGGACATTATTAATAACAGTACAATCATCTAATGATGCAGGTGTTGGTCCTCCAAATCCTTCTTTAATAAACAGAGCCATAAAGTGAATCACATAACACCAGCCTGCACGTAAACCAAATGAAAAAAAATCTAAAAATAAATTTCATGAATACAAAATTTAATTTCATATGACCTTTACATGCCATGTGCAAGAGAGTCGCCGGTGATACATGTTCTCTTTTTATTGTCCATGTAACCCCGGGTCGCCCTGGATTATGGTTCTCATTTTTAAGTGCGTTCCCATTAGCCCATTGTATTAACTGGATCGACTTAAGTTTGTAGGGCTTCTCGCTAAAGTGCTCTCAGCGTAATCAGCTTAATTGTCTGGCACTCCCCCTTGAGTAACTAGGGGGTAATTGACTATCGATTATTACCCGCTAGCAGCTTGAATAGGCGTGCCAAACATTTTAGGATATTGTTACCCTTTATTATCATCCAGATACCAAAATTGGATTTTCCTGCATATAGGCCTAATTATTTAATAATGCATCTATCTTTGTGCTGATTTAAAACAATAAAAAACCCTCGAAAATATAAAATATCGGAGCTTATGTTTCTCGTTGCAATGTATAAGCATAGGCAACTCAAACTTTAATCGTCAGTTATAAACATCTTTCTATTTTGAGGTGAGATAACAATCGGTATTTGGCGTAACGTCATCCCTGAACGAGATTTTATCACGAAAATTGGCAGAGTGGACCTCGACTGAATGGGCTACAATCCCGTGCCGTCATTTTTTTATGGAGTTATCAGCCCCTAATTACAGATATTTCTGTCTGGTAGATTTTTCTCCAAAATTTACATATATGTTTAACACTATTGCATCCATATTAAGATTTTAAAGTTCTTAGGTATCCATAAGGTTTTAGGTATCCATGTTAGTTCTGTTGCTATGGCGATTTGAACTAAGGATCCAATTACTATTGAAAGTGATGGGCACCCATGTAAATATTGTTACTATGTCAAAAAAAAATTTAGGATAAAATAGATAGCCAGCAACAGCCGTTGACACCATGAGCAAAAAAAAAAAAAATGAATTCTCTACGTTGTTGTGCAGTGTAGCATAAAGCACTATATACCCTAAGTCATTTCAACCCGTTATTAAACTAACGACAGGGAGACTCTCTGTTACAGGGACCCCAGTTTCTATACACCAGATAAAGACATCAAGAATGGCAAGAATTGAGCCTGCTTTGCTTGAATAACAAACCGAACAAAGCGGGACCATTGACGAAGACCGATCTGAATCTAGTTGGTTGATCTGAGTCTAGTTAATTTACCTCTGAGTAGAAAGTACATTTTGGTGACCTTTGAATGGCCAGGAATGCCCATTTAGAGCCGCGGACTATCGAATCCTTGGCCTTTGCATTGTAATTGTACAATTAATACTGCTTTGTAATTTAATCCATCGCCAGGCGGTTTGGGTTTGAACTGGTAAATTGCCTGTGGTAAAATAGGATTTAAGGGTGGTAGGGGTCGCATG